GGGATTAAGTTGTATTTCTGGGAACCACTGGGTCTTCCTGAGGTTGATATCATAATGGATTTGGTGCTGGACACACACAATGGAGTTGGTATTGAACATCAAGGATCTCATCAAGTACCTTGAAAATAACATGGTAAGTGTGGTCATTTTGTCCATCAGCTGAAGCACATCCAGCCCGACTCCTAACTAGGCTGGGTGAAAGCACATCCATTTCCTTTACAGAGACACTGGCAATACACAGTGCTCCCTTCTTTCTGGCCTTTGGGTATTTTTTTTTCTTTCTCAAATGACCTGTGACTATGAGACATATACTACTTTTCACATTTGCAATGTATAACTGTATTTTACATGTCCTTTCTTGCAGCACTTCCAGCTGCTGCTTTGGTTCAATTTAATTTTAATACATCTCCCAAGCAGTATGGGGATGGTCAGGGTGAAACTTTAATTGCCTGTGTCAAAACAGTTAAACAAACAGTCAAAGCACATGTTGGACAAGAAAATATGGTCAGCCTGATTTCAGTGGTTTGACAGGCTGCTTTCGTCTCCTGGGCTGAGGAAAATTTTAAGAAAAACCTCTGCATGGAGTTTTTGTTTCAAAGCCTAGAGACTGTTTGTGCCTTGGCTGAGTCTGGCTGCAAGTCCTTGTAGGAAAAGAAGGCCTAACAGTGGCCCATAACCTTCCTTTGATTAAAACCTTCTAGTTAGCTAGTCTAAAATAGAGTGGAAACTTTTCTGTGAACCTTAGTCCACTGAAGGGTAAAAAGAGGTTTTCCATTGAAAACACTGACAAAAAGCAGCCTTTCTATCCATAAAGGTTACTTGAAAATGCCATTATCATCTTCATGTAAAAACAGTTACTCTATTTTCCATAAGACTTCAGATCATTCCCTTTTCTCTGTTTCTTTATCCTTATTTTTTTCCAGTGGACATGAATTAGTTAGTAGCAAAGGATAATAGTAGGCTTTCCCTTTTCTTGTAGAAAGAAAAGCCTCTGGAAAATACAAGATATAAAAATGAAACTTGCCCTGGACTTGTACTGGAAATTCAAACGCAGTAATTCAGAGGAAATGCAAAATCATAAAGAAACACGAAGGTCTGTGTAGTTATTTCAGAAGGTGAAACCTACTGTTTTAAGTTTAACCTGTACACATTCACATAACAGTTAAACAAAAAAGTATCCATGCAAAGCATCCAATGAACCTTTAAACCTGCTGCTCCTCTGTGAAGAAATGGATTTCTCTCTGCTTTTGAGGATCAGCTGGGTCCCCATCTCATGATGGGGTGCGTTTCTGTTGTTTTTCAGAAGTTTCTGCATTCTGTTATCTGGTCTAAAACTCCCATCCATCAACCCTTACTATGCCATAACCTACCCTTTTTGGGTAGCTGGAGACATTTTCAAGACCTTGGAAGATCACTGTTGTCAAGATTGTTCTCTGCATCTTGATTCGAAAAGTTGTTAACAACCAGCTGCTCATTCAGATGTATTTAGGAACTTTGAAACTCAACTCCTGTGCTACTGAGCTGGGTTTTAAGTCTTTTTTTGGATTACAGTAGCTACAGCTTTTGGTAAGCCTCTCCCATCTGTTACAGATGAACTAAGATATTGAGCATTTTCTCTTTTGTGTCATCCACGAGTCTGCAAATTCAAGGTGCTAATGGAGAAATACACTAAATTAGCAGGATCCACAGGGATGATCTTAGAAAGATCTAGTTAGCATTTTGGGCTGGCTGCAGAGAGTTGCTGCTGGGAACCATTCAGCTGGATAGCCACTGATGATACAATGAGCTCTCCCTATTCCTGGAGACAAGTGTCCCAGATTCCCTCCACTTCTATGCCCTACTGCTTTTCTTACTGTGGAAGATCTCAGAGACCAACCTTGCCACAGTTTCTTTGAGAAATAAACACTTTCTCCTTTACTGTCACAACTGTTTTTTCAGTCCACATACACTCAGACACCTAGACAGGCTGCCTTCTTTTATTTCTAACTTCAGCAACACTGACTAGAAGATCTCACTTCTTCAGTGCTCTTTTTACCCACGTAATACTTCACACCTCTCACCAAAGCCTTCCTTTCATTCCCATCAGCCCTGTATATGCCAGTAACCAAAGTGGATGCAAATATCTCCATCAGTGCCTCAGACTGACAATTGCATTTAATTACCTCTGAGCATCCCCCCCCCACCCTGGCCACAGATGTTTACAATAACTTATTCAGGAATTCAACAAGGTTGCCCTCAGGTGCCTTAGAGATAACCAGAAGTGCTGTGATATGGCTTTCAAAAGGACAGCTTCAAAGAAGCAGCCAAAATAAGCATAAGTCCTTTACCAACTGAATTTTGTCTCTTTTGCTAGTGTTGTGAATTTTAATTCTCCACCTTTCTCGAGTGCCTTCTACTTTGGGATGCATGACAACTTAAGAGACTTTAATTGACTCTCAACATGCCTTTCATAAGCATTATTTCCAATTCAGTGGCTAGGAAAAGCACAGCATAAAACATGAAGCCATTGTCCAAGTGCACAGCAATAAACAGAAATTGCTGAAATAGCTCACCCCATTTTATTAAAAGTACAGCTTCTATACCTGCCAGAAAATACTGTCTGGGTTTTGTTGTGTTGTTTTGCTTTTTTTTAAAATCCATAAATTAGTCAACACCATTAAAAATAAAAGTAGGAATTTTTTTAGTGGTCTGTGAAGAGATACGGGCTGTCTCTTAGAAGAGATTTTGAACAGAAGGGAAAGTTGGAAAGTTTTCCAATTGCTTCTCAGTGTTTGTCAGAGATGCTAATATAAATCCATCACTTTCCAGAGATGCCACTTCAAAGGTAGTTACAAGTATGCCCTAAGAAACTACAGCTAATTCAGTGCCTATGAAAAAGGGCAGGGTAGAGGTAGGGACCCCACAACCAGCAAGCAATCAGCTAAAACTGGGTCCTAAGTTATGACATAAAAAAATGTTGTCCACAAAAGTAATTACAGGCACACTTCAGACCTGCTGAAATAGGATGACCATTCCCAAAATAGTCTTTGCACAGTATCACATTACTATAAATACACAGGATATTTCAGTGAGTCTTTTCTTCATCAAGAAAACTGATAAGCCTAAGGGCATCATGAAAGAGTAGTATCTTTGCTTCTTCCCCTGGAAGAAGGAGTAGCTTTTCCTACACATGCTGTTCCTAGAAGGCCATGTGTTGATTTCAGACTGGGACCTGATCATGCCTCTCCATATGCAAAGCAATGGCAACCTCCTCCCTCCATCAACCAAAGCTGGAAGAAGGAAGATTTGTATCCTCTGGAAAAGATACAGTGAATTTGCAGAGTCCACAGATGATGGATCTATACTGGGGAATGTAAAGAAACGCTTCCAGTAGTGCAGCCAGTCCTGTGTCAGTAGCAGTGATACTGAAGGAGCCCTAATTCAGAGAACACTGTCAGTGCAGGCAATGCACTGATGTCTTTGAACAATCAAACTTGCTGCTGTCATTGGAACTGCACCACAATTTGAATTTAAGAGTTTAAAAAGTGCTTAGAAGGTATACAGTTTTAATTACTCCTTATTTGTCCTATTTTATATCTTATTTGCCTAAGAATTTATTTTTTTATCTTTTAGACAAAACCAATGACAAAACAATTAAATCCATTTCCATCTTGTCTAGGTTGAGCACAACTCAATGACTCAGTTTTTTCCCTATGACATTTGTGGTTTCCTCACTCTAGTGTTGCTCCTCTTGTTTATCTTCTGGTTGGTTTAATTTCTTAGTACATTTATACAGAATCAAAAATACATAAAATATGGAGCAGAGAAACACACAGACATAGCTCTAACCTTGTTCCAGGTAACACACAACAATTTATGCTGGTTTTTGCAACTCTATTTACATATAGGTGTCACTGAATGCTCTGAAACAAGAATCTACTGTTAATATGTGTTCTGCTACTCCATTCTCCTGCTAAAGAGTTTTACAAGTCTGCTCTAACACCTTATCAAAAGCTTAATTTCAT